CCCCCCAGCCCCATATGGACTCCCTCAGCCCCACATAAGGACCCCCAGCCCCATAGGGCCCCCCGCTCACCTCCTCCTTCTTGTAGGGCGCCTCCAACATGGCCTCAATGACGATATCGAAATCGTCCGACGTCATCGCGTCCGTCTGCGGGCCGGACACACGGACACATGGCGACCCAGAGCGACCCATAGCGACCCATAGCGACCCATAGGGACCCATAGGGACCCATAGCGACCCATAGGGATCCATAGGGACCCATAGCGACCCATAGGGATCCATAGGGACCCATAGCGACCCATAGCGACCCATAGCGACCCATAGGGACCCACAGCGACCCATAGCGACCCATAGGGACCCATAGCGACCCATAGGGACCCATAGGGACCCATAGGGACCCATAGCGACCCACAGCGACCCATAGTGACCCACAGCGACCCATAGCGACCAACAGCGACCCATAGCGACACACAGGGACACATAGGGACCCATAGGGACCCCACAGGAACCCATACAGTCCCATAGGAACCCATACAGACCCATAGAGACCCATAAAGATCCATAGGGACCCATAGCAACCCAGAGACCCATAGAGACCCATAGAGACCCACGGCGACCCATAGCGACACACAGCAACCCATAGAGACTCATAGGAGCCCATAGAGACCCATAGAGACCCATAGGAACCCACAGGGACCCATAATGACTCATAGAGACCCATAGAGACCCACAGCGACCCACAGCGACCCATAGGAGCCCATAGAGACCCCATAGAGACCCATAGGAACCCATAGGAACCCAGAGGGACCCATAGCGACCCACAGCGACCCATAGGGACCCCATAGCGACCCACAGCAACCCCATAGGGACCCCATAGCAACCCATAGAGACCCACAGAGACCCATAGGGACCCATAGAGACCCACGGCGACCCCATAGAGACCCATAGGGCCCCCGTAGGAACCCCATAGAAACTCATAGCAACCCACAGGGACCCATAGGGACCCATAGCGACCCACAGGGACCCACAGCAACCCCATAGGGACCCCATGGGGACCCATAGGGACCCATAGAAAGCCCACAGGGAGCCACAGAGCCCCATAGCGACCCCACAGCGCCCCATAACGGCCCTACAGCCACCCATAGCCCCCAGACCCATAAGCCCTCATACCCCGTAAGTCCCATAAGCCCCCCATAGCCCCATAAGGCCCATAAACCCCATAAGCCCCACAGCCCCATAAGGCCCATAAACCCCATAAGCCCCATAAGCCCCCCAAGCCCCATAAGCCCCACAGTTCCATAAGGCCCCACAGTTCCCTAAGGCCCCATAAGCACCATAAGGCCCCATAAACCCCATAAGGCCCACAGGCCCCGCCAGGCCCCGGCCGCCGCTGGCGCCGCCCCTCACCTCGCTCCCCGCCTTCCCCCCCGCCTCCATCTCCACCGGGGGGGCGGCAGCCGCGGGCTGTGCTCCTGTTGGGACGAACGGCTAATTAGGCCCTCATTAAGCCCTCATTAAGCGCTCATTAAGCCCCAATTAAACCCCGTTCTCAGCCTCTCTTTAGCCCCGCCCCCTCGTGACGTCACCGCGCCCTATCAGCCCCCTCCGCGACCCCCGAAGCCCCGCCCCTTTCCCAAGCCCCCGCCCCTCACAGAGGCCACGCCCCTCCTCCCTCCTGGCCACGCCCCTTAACCCCGCTCCCCTCCCCCCCGCCGCCGCCGCGCATGCGCGCTACCCCCGACCCCCCAAACTCCCATTTCTCGCCTTTTTCTCGCCTTTTTTCCGCCCCGATCCCCAACCCGGCTCCCCCCGGTGACGTCACGGCCCTCTCGGTGACGTCACTCCGCCCCTCCAACCTCACCGGGGCCCTTTCCGGCGGCGGCGGAGTCGGCGGCGGCGGCGGCGGTGGACGCGGCCCTCCAAGATGGCGGCGGCCCCACCGGAAGTACTGCGCCTGCGCGGCGTTCGCCCCGCCTCCCGAGCCTTGCCATCGGTCTGCGCGCCGCACGGAGCCCTCCGATTGGTCGGCGCGGAGCGGAGCGCTGATTGGGCGCAAAGAGAGGCGTGGCCCCATTGGCTGCCCGCCCGTTGTCGTTGTGACGACGCGGTCCCGCCCCTTCCGGGAGAGGCGTTGCCACGGAAACGCGGCCTACTGGGGGGGGTGAAGCCTCAGGGAGGTGAAAACGGGAAAATAGGGGCAGAAAACGGAAGAAAATGGGACGAAGCGGCACGAAATGGGAAAACCCCATAAAAAACGTGGGGAGACTGGCCTGAATGTGGAAAAATGTCCTTAAAACCGGGAAAATTGCGGCAGAAAGGGGAGACTGAGGAGATGTGTGGGATCTTTGGGGGCAAACGGGGAGAAAGGAGCTGAAAAATGGCGCCGAGGGGGCAAAAATGTCCGCAGATAATGGCCACACAAAGAGCGACGCGGCCCCAGAGCCAACATGGCCGCCCCACCCCACAATGGCTGCCCAAAGTCTAAGATGGCCGCCCCAACCAGAGAGGGCCGCCCCAACCAAGAAGATGCCCTTTAACCCAAGATGGCTGCCCCCAGTACAACATGACCGCCCCCAACCCAGCGTGACCTTAATCCAAGATGGCTGCCCCCAATCCAAGGCGTCAATCCCCAACCCAAGATGGCTCCCTAATCCAAGATGGCCACCCCCAATTCAATGAGATCCTAACCAGAGACGTTCGCTTCCAATCCAAGATGGCTACCCCCAACCCAACATGGCTGCTCCCCACCCAAGATGTCTGCCCTCAAGATGGCCGCCCGCAATCCAAGATGGCTGCCCCAACCCTTTGTCACTCAAATCCAAGATGGCCACCCCCAACCCATGATGTCCATCCCCAATTCAAGGTGTCCTCCCGCAACCCAACATGGCTGCCCCCATCCCAATACGGCCGCCCCAATCCAAGATGGCCGCCCCACCCAAGATGTCCTCCCCCAATCCAAGATGGCTGCCCCCAACTCATTCTCACTCCAATCCAAGATGTCCGCCCCAAGATGCCCACCCCCCTCCCAATATGGCCGCCCCCAAACGAAGGCGTCTTCCCCCAACTCATTCTCACTCCAATCCAAGATGGCTGCCCCCATCCCAATACGGACGCCCCAATCCAAGATGTCCGCCCCCACCCAAGCACTCCTCCCGGAAGCCAAGATGTCCGCCACCGGATGCGCGGTTGCTGAGTCTTTATTGCTCACAGTCCGATGGTGTAGGAGCGGCCTGCTGGGTTGTGCAGGGCAGAGCAGGCCGGCTCGGTCACGGCCCACTCGTACCAAACCTTCTGTGGGGCCGCACGGCGCCAGAACGACAGCACCACCGTCTGCCCTGCCTGCACCGCCATTGGCTGCTGCGGGGAGACGGGGCGGGGCTCAGAGAACGGGCGGCCAATCGGGGAGGGTGTCCCAAGATCCCACCAAGGGATGGATCCAAGATGGCTGCCCATAGTTAAGATGGCTGCCCACCCACATAGGGATGGATCCAACATGGCTGCCCACAGTTAAGATGGCCGCCCACCAAGGGATGGATCCAACATGGCTGACCGCAGCCATGACAGTTGCCCCAAAAAGAAACCAAGGGATCCAAGATGGCTGCCACCAATGGAACACAAGTGGGCCCAAGATGGCTGCCTCAACCCAAGACGGCCGCCCGATTGAAACCAATGGGTGCATTCAAGATGGCTGCCCCCGATGGCACCCAATGGACGGATCCAAGATGGCCGCCCGCATTGAACCCTATAGGCGGATCCAAGATGGCCGCCCCCAGGCGTACCTTCAAAGGGAAGAAGATGGGGAACCAGGAGAACATCCCAGGTGAGTGCGTCTCAGGGCGGATACCTGCGAGGCCACGCCCACCGTTAGCCCCGCCCCTTCCTCCCACTCTCATTGGCCAAGCCACGCCCATCAACCCCAAGCCCCACCCCTAAATCCCCACCCACCCCTTTTGACCACACTGGAAGCCCCGCCCCTTTCTCCTCCCTCTGACCTCCCATTGGCTGCAACCACCTCAAGCCCCACCCCTTAACCCCCATTCCATCGCCCAGAATGGAAGCCCCACCCCTTTTTGCCCTGTCAGATCTCCCATTGGCTGCAACCACCTCAAGCCCCGCCCCTTAAAGCCTACCCCCACCCCACTGACCGCAACAGAAGCCCCACCCCCTCCTGCTCCGTCCAATCTCCCATTGGCTGCAACCTTCTCAAGCCCCTCCCCTTAACCCCAAGCACCACCCAACCCCCCATTGAGTTTCACCGTAGCCGCGATCTCCCATTGGCTGCAACTTCCTCAAGCCCCGCCCTTTAACTGCAAGCCCCGCCCATCCCCAATGGACTCAACAGAAACTCTGCCGTCGCACATCTCCCATTGGCTATAAGCACCTCAAGCCCCACCCCCTCAGCCTCCAAGCCCCACCCCCTTCCCCCTCCCCTTTTCATTCACCACACTGAAAGTCCCGCCCCTTCCTCCCCCCTCTGCCCTCCCATTGGCCGGCTCTCCCGCTCCCTTGGCCCGCCATTGGCCGTACTGAGGGTGACGTCTCCATAGAGCACGGTCTCAAAGTAGCCGGCGAAGCCGTGCAGGGCCGTGGTCACTGGCACCGGGAACGAGAGCCGCCGGTACCGGCTGTTGTCCTCTGAGGGCTCTGCAACCGGAAGTGGGAGGGGCTACCGTCAAAACACGGCCCCCCAGTGGCGACGTCATCGCGAGGGGAGGGGCCACGATGAGGCCACGCCCACATCGCGATGTCATTATTGCAGAAAGGGGGGGAGGTCCGTTTTTGGCTTCTGCCCCTTTAAGAGCACGGCTCCTTTAAGAGCGCGGCTCCTTCAGCCCCGCCCACACGAAGCCCTCCCAGGAAGCCCCTCCCACCGGAAGCGCCACCCGGAAGTCCCTCCCCCTCCCCAAACAGGAAGTCCCGCCCCCCCCCCCCCCACCTGGCTTGGGGTGCTGGAAGGTGAAGCAGGGCTGCGGCGCCGCCAGCTGGTGGAAGTTGTGCAGCCGCACCACGTAGGGCGTCTCAAACTGCGCCTGTGGGGCTGCCCCATAAGTGCCCCATGGCCGCCCCATAACTGCTCCATAGCCGCCCCATAGATGCCCCACAAGTGCCCCATAGCCCCATAAGTGCCCCAT